ATTGAAAAGTCAGGAAACAAAATGATACAAGATCCAAACTATAGAGACCGTTAGTGTAATTTACCCACAATGATAAATAGAATTTGATTATTGGAATAACATTGTTATAATTTGGTAAATAATAATATTACATGCACCAATTAATGTATTAACGTGTGTACCAATTGATGATATCATCAATTGGTACACACGTTAATACATTAATTGGTGCATGTAATATTATTATTTACCAAATTATAACAATGTTATTCCAATAATCAAATTCTATTTATCATTGTGGGTAAATTACACTAACGGTCTCTATAGTTTGGATCTTGTATCATTTTGTTTCCTGACTTTTCAATTGTGACACATTTGACCATGAATTTTGAATCTTATTCCAAATAAAAACAATTGAAAATACCATTGAACTTTTCAAGGGCAAAATCGTCAATTTGATAAAATAATAAATGTCAAAAAAATATTTTTGAAATTTTAAAAATTATTTATATCCACTAAAGATAAAATTATGTAAAATCAATAAATCTTTTATACATTTATTTATTTATTTTACTAAGTTAATTTTTATTATGTGTTTGGATGATAATCATGTAAAATTAATTTTTAAAAATTAATCAAGTAATTTTTACCAATTTTATATAATTTTATCTTTGGCGGGTAGAAATAATTTTTAAAATTTTAAAAATATTTTTTTGACATTTATTTTTGTTAAATTAGTTTATATTTGATCAAATTGACGATTTTGCTGTTGAAATTAAGCAATGGTGTCTCCAATTGTCCTTATCTGAAACAAGATTCAAAATTTATGGTCAAATGTGCCACAATTGAAAAGTCAAAAACAAAAGCGATGCGAGCCCCAAACTATAGGGACTGTTAGTGTAATTTGCCCTATCATTGTTATAATTTGACAATGAATAGGGTTATTTTACCAAAGGGTCCAGCTTGTTTCCTATTAGAGATCAAGATTGAACGTCCAGTTCGGTGTATGAGCTCATTTTTGGGTCTTTTTTTGATAATATGAACCGTTTAATATGTATAACTTGTCGAGTATTATAATATTATAAAAAATCACGTTGATCAGATATCGATAGCTATTTGATCAGATCAGATTTCTGTCAACCGTTTATTTTTTTAACGTTCATTTTTTTTATTATATAAAACCGATCCAATCAAATAGTTATCGATATCCGATCAACAAGATTTTTTATAGAGTTATAGTACTTGACAAGTTCTATACATTGAACAATTTACATTATCAAAGGTCACCAAAAAAAAAAAAAACTAGAAAACATATATTAAAAAAATACCTACAAATTTGAAGGAAAAGTTGGTTGAGATTTACCAAAATAGAGAATGTGACCATTGAAATACCATTGCCATAATTTGATAAAGGGTCCAGCTTGTCTCTAGTTGAAGATTAAGACTAGACTGTCCAGTCCGGCCCGTGGGGCCCATTTTTGGGGTCCGTTTCGATAATGTAAATTGTTCAATGTATAGAACTTGTCAAGTACTATAACTTTATAAAAAATCATGTTGATCGGATATCGATAACTATTTGATTGGATCGGTTTTATATAATAAAAAAAATGAACGTTAAAAAAATAAATGGTTGACAGAAATCTGATCTGATCAAATAGCTATCGATATCTGATCAACGTGATTTTTTATAATATTATAATACTTGACGAGTTATACATATTATACGGTTCATATTATCAAAAAAAGACCTAAAAATGAGCTCATACACCGAACTAGACGGTTCAATCTTGATCTCTAATAGGAAACAAGCTGGACCCTTTGGTAAAATAACTCTACTCATTGTCAAATTATAACAACGATAGGGCAAATTACACTAACAGTCCCTATAGTTTGGGGCTCGTATCACTTTGGTTCATGACTTTTCAATTGTGGCACATTTGACCATAAATTTTGAATCTTGTTTCAGATAAGGACAATTGGAGACACCATTGCTTAATTTCAACAGCAAAATCGTCAATTTGATCAAATATAAACTAATTTAACAAAAATAAATGTCAAAAAAATATTTTTAAAATTTTAAAAATTATTTCTACCCGCCAAAGATAAAATTATATAAAATTGGTAAAAATTACATGATTAATTTTTAAAAATTAATTTTACATGATTATCATCCAAACACATAATAAAAATTAACTTAGTAAAATAAATAAATAAATAAATGTATAAAAGATTTATTGATTTTACATAATTTTATCTTTAGTGGATATAAATAATTTTTAAAATTTTAAAAATATTTTTTGACATTTATTATTTTATCAAATTGACGATTTTGCCCTTAAAAAATTCAATGGTATTTTCAATTGTTCTTATTTGGAATAAGATTTAAAATTCATGGTCAAATGTGTCACAGTTAAAAAGTCAGGAAACAAAGTGATACAAGATCCAAACTATAGAGACCGTTAGTGTAATTTACCCTCAATGATAAATAGAATTTGATTATTGGAATAGCATTGTTATAATTTGGTAAATAATAATGTTACATGCACAAATTAGTGTATTAACTAGTGTACCAATTGATGATATCATCAATTGGTACACACGTTAGTACATTAATTGGTGCATGTAACACCACAATTTGATAAAATAATATTAATTGTCAAATTATAACAATAATAATAGATTGGTGCTACATGCACTAATTAGTGTACTAAGGCCTCGTTTGACAACCTTCTTTTTTAGTCAAAAAGTCAAAAAGTTTTTAAATTAACCAAAAAGCCAACAACTCATACAAAAAAGTCAAAGATTCTCTTTTCTCTCTACTTTTTGCACATCTTTTCGTAAAAAGCCAAAAATTCATCCCAAATATACTAATTTTTTTTAACTCATATTTTAGCAAAATAGTCAAAAAGTTACTAAATTAGCCTGTTCCCAAACGAGGCCTTGGCAAGTGACTTTTTTAGTCAAAAAGTCACTAGAAAAAATCAAAAAGTTAACAATCCATACCAAAAAGTCAAAGATTCCATTTCTTTCCACTTTTTGCACATTTTTTCGTAAAAAGCTAAAAAGTCATCACAAACATACTAGTTTTTTTTAGCTTGTATTTTAGCCAAATAACCAAAAAGTTACTAAATTAGCTTGTTCCCAAACGAGGCCTAACTAGTGTACCAATACTAATTATGACATTATTATTAATTTCACTCATTATACAAAGTACAAATATCAAAAATATCTTAAATTATACCACATCGTCAATGGGTGTTTTGAAAAATTGATAAAAAGTTGATTTTTTTGCTTTTTAAACTTATTTTATCTTTTTGTAGGTAAGTTATGTGAGAGGTGATGTGACCCAAAATTAGTAAAAAGTTAGAAGCTAACTTTTTACCAACTTTTCAAAAGAGCACTATTAATATATTAATTGATATATATAACATTAGTCATGATAATATTATTTTAACAAATTAAGTGGTAAATTGTGTTTTTCTTTTGGAAAAATTATCCAAAAATCCCATATCAGCATTTGCAACCCCATTTAGTCCTACCAATTAACACATATACTGATAGATTCCATAGGTGATAACATTATCACTACTAGGTCCTATTTTGATTTATATTTTGATATTATGGTCGCTTCTACCCCTTCCTTTACTGGGTCACACAAAATTACAAACAGAGTAGCACGTTGGTTGCAAACGGTGGAGACCAAACATCTTCATACTACAAGCATTTTTTATTCCCCACCTCCCAACCCCCATATAAGATCACACACAACACCCCACTTCCTACAAAGAAACCCCACCAATGGATACATACTGACACACAAAAATATCCACACACCCATTGCGACAACAACACATATTGACACACAATCCATTAATCGTGAACCACAAACATTACACAGGTACACAGTACATGCACACACACACAAATGGCATACACCACATCTGCAATCAAACCCCCATCTAATTACTTGCGAAACAAAATAACATAACGTAACAACACTGAGCCATTGCCAACTGTTGTAGTTCGTCCGCACGTCGACTTCTCCACCAACACAACGTAAACACACCGACCACAGTTTCAACAACCCTACCCTGTGACACCAACACACGACTTCAAAAAAACGACAACCAACTCACACGCCACCAAACAAAACCCTATCGTATATCTCCGAAATCCTAATCAATATCCACCACAAACACCCAATTGTAATAACATGAAAACGGCAACACCGAAAATCTGGAGATTAAGCAACACTATAGCTTGATTTGAGGATTTTCATATCGTAACACGTGGGCCAAAACAGCCGAGTCGGGTTTCAACCGGTGTGACGTCACACCGTCTCACAAATACAACACAACAAAAACTACTATAGAGCATTTTCCCAATGTGACACCGAAACACACATCACTCTAAAAGTCAATCTAAATTTCTTCACATCGTCATACAACTACAACAAAAGAAAAACTACTATAGGGCTTTTTGCCGTCGTGACACCCAATCAAACCCCACGTCACAAATTCACACAAAACGTCTTCACACATAACTCAACAAACGAGGGCATTTCAGGAAGTTACACATACCGCAGGACCAAACGGAGTAATACAAATATTTAAGGACTAATTGCACCAACATTTCATATTACGGGATTTATCAGTAACTCTCCCTTTTCTTTTTTTTTCAACGCCCAGTAAATTATCAAAAGAGCACTATTAGGCCAAATTTGGCATACCTCAAATAATTCATCTTTTTATCTTTTTTTTATCACACCACCTCCCTATTTTTCTGTATATCTTTTCATAAAAAAATAAAAAATATAATTATTTAAGTCATTCCAAACAACTCCTTAATATATTTTACCAACTTCTCATAAGAGCACTATTAATATATTAATTGATACGAATAAGATTAGTCAGTATAACTTTAGTCATTGATGTCAATTTTTTCCCCCCTCTCTTTCTCTCTCTCTCAACTACTATATAAGTCTTCCTCTCCCTCACACATTCATGACCTCTCTTGCACCTCTCTCTGATACAGAAGAAAGAAAGAAAGGAAAAAAAAGGGGTAGAAATCTGGGGTAGAAATTTCAAATTTAATCTGGGATGGAGTTTGGTATGGTTTCGAAGGACACAAGTTGGTGGTTTTTCACTCTCCCAGCATTTCTTGGTTCTGAAACCCTACTCGATGGCTACGCTATTTTCGCTCTCTTCATGGCCTTTCTGTCTTTCTCTCTCCTCACTTGGGCCTTCGCCCTCGGCGGCACTGCTTGGAAAAACGGCCGAAACCAAAGAGGCCCTGCCACCATTCCGGGCCCTCGAGGCCTCCCCATCTTCGGAAGCCTCTTCACTCTTAGCCGCGGCTTGGCTCACCGCTCTCTCTCTTCCATGGCTCGCTCACTAGACGCCACTCAACTCATGGCTTTCAGCCTCGGCTCCACTCTCGTCGTCGTCTCTTCCGACCCCCACATCGCCCGTGAAATCCTCACCTCCCCCCACTTCGCTGACCGTCCGATCAAGCAGTCGGCTAAGAGCCTCATGTTCAGCCGCGCCATCGGCTTCGCCCCCAACGGCTCCTACTGGCGGCTTCTTAGGCGAATCGCTTCGTCCCACCTCTTCGCTCCCCGGCGCATATCAGCCCACGAAGCAGGACGCCAGCTAGACTGCGCCGTCATGTTGCGTAATATAGCAAACGACCAGTTACTAAACGGTAAAGTCACTTTAAGGAAGCATTTGCAAGCTGCGGCTTTGAATAACATTATGGGCAGTGTTTTTGGGAGACCTTTTGACGCGGCGCATGATAGCGCGGGACTCCAAGAGCTCAGGGACATGGTAAGCGAAGGGTTTGAGCTCTTGGGTGCTTTTAACTGGTCTGATTATCTTCCATGGCTCAGTTCTCTCTACGACCCGTTTCGTATAATCGAACGCTGTAACAAACTCGTTCCCCGAGTCCGAAAACTCGTCCGAGGCATCATTGAAGAACACAAACTCAGTGAGTCAACAAAGCTCTCCGATAATGCCGATTTCGTCGATGTTTTGCTCTCTCTGGAAGGTGATGAGAAGCTAAACGAAGACGACATGGTCGCTGTCTTGTGGGTACGTATCACATACATGTATATCTATGGTAGTTTTTGTTTTTATGATTTACGGAGTTGACTCACTGAGTTTCGCTTTTGTCTTTGCCATGCAGGAAATGATATTCAGAGGGACTGATACGACAGCGTTGTTGACCGAGTGGGTCATGGCTGAGTTGGTGCTGCACTGGGAAGTTCAAACCAAGCTTAGGAAGGAGCTAGATTCTGCTGTGGGCGAGAACAGCATAATGGACGCTGACGTGGCCAAACTACCCTACCTACAGGCCGTGGTCAAGGAGACACTCAGGGTCCACCCACCGGGCCCACTGCTGTCGTGGGCCAGGCTGTCCACGTCAGACGTCCAGCTCAGCAACGGCATGGTCATACCTGCCAACACGACAGCGATGGTCAACATGTGGGCCATCACGCATGACTCGCACGTGTGGGAGGATCCACACGTGTTCAAGCCGGAGAGGTTTTTGGTGAGTGAAGGGGGTGCTGACGTGGACGTGAGAGGCAGTGACCTGAGGATAGCGCCATTCGGGGCGGGTCGTCGGGTTTGCCCTGGAAAAAACCTTGGGCTGGTGACGGTGAACCTATGGGTGGCTAAACTGGTGCACCACTTCCAGTGGGTCCGAGACGAGGCTAACCAAGTTGACCTGAGTGAGGTGTTGAAGCTGTCGTGTGAAATGAAGCGTCCTCTGTCTGCTGTGGCTGTGCCCAGTACTAAATATTAATGTCCTGTTTTAGGGTATTTTTAGATAATATGACGTTATTAATATTTTAATTTGATAGGGTATGGTCTATATGCTGTGGGGGTATAGTTCTATATTCCTATTGGGTTTTATTTACTATTTTTGTCGTCTTTGATTAGGCATGAGTTCGAGTTCAGGGAGGGCTGTGTTGGAAGGGTTTAACAGGGCCTCCCAATTTTGGTGTGTATGCAATTTTTTGAACATGCTGTTTTATTATTATGTTTTCTAAATCAATCCTCTTTTGTAATCATGTAAATTTATTTCGAATGTTTTTTTTTAAAATTGAATTTTGTTAATGTTTTTTTTAGGCATATCTTGAAAATATTTAAAAAAATTATACACATTCTAAGGGTCGGTTTGGGAAGGGTTTTTTCGGGTTTTTTTAGCTATTTTAGTCACAAAAAAACAAAAATAGGTTATTTTAGTCACAAAAAATAAAATATCACATCTAACCCATAATCATTACGCTCTTTTTTCACAAAAAAAGTCAAAAAAGTCAAAAAGTCAAAAAAAAATTTCTAAACCAAACTTTTTAGCCCAGGTTAAAATAGTCAAAAAAATTAAAAAATCAAAAAGCCAACTCACTTTCCAAATGGAGGTTAAATGAAAGTTTAGGCCAAGTTTGGCATTTTTAAAATAACTCATTTTTTTATCTTTTTATTTTTTTTATTACATTATTTCTCTATTTTTCTGTACATTTTTTCGTAGAAAGAAAAAAAATGTACTTATTTAGATTATCTCAAATAATCCCTAAATATAATGGCTCTTTTGGTAGTTGGCTTTTAGTCACTTTGTGGGTTTGTAGTAAAAGTGAACAATTTTTTTTTTTTTAATTTAAAGACATGTAGAAGGTTTTCAATTGGTGAAATTATAATTTTATTTCTCATAAGTAGTTAAAATGTGTTAGGATAAAGTTGTAAATATTTTAAATTGAATAGGGGTGGTTTGGTCATTTTATTTTGATTTAATATCATAAATAAATATTAATTAAAAAAATTAAAAATAATTTTTTATTAACTTTTCAAATCACTTGTTTAAAAAAGTTAAAAATTTGATTAAAAGTTAAAAAATTATTTTTTATCATCTTTCAAAACATCTCAAATGTATAATTTTTTTTATTTATAGTTCAGTGGTAAGTCAAGGTAAGTCAAATTATTTGAGATTAATTCTGTTTGGCAATTTTAAAGTTGGCTTACCATTCTTAAATTTAATGTTGTAATTATGTTTTAAAATTTTATTAATTTTTCAAATCTAATTTAAGCAATTTGTTAGTTGGATGAATGGGTTAAGTCATACAAATTTTAGTTTCAATAATATTTTGGACATATTTGTTGAACTTTATATGTATATTTTACAAAAGTTTTGAAAATTATAAATGTGAACTTATTTGGTTTCTTTTTTGTTTATAGAAAGTTATAGACAATTTACAAAATTGAAACACAAAAGTTGGTTTTATTTATTTATTTTGTTTTTCAATTTTGTCTTAATCTTTCGCTCTTTTCGATCACTACTAATTGCTCATAACTATCAGTCACATACCATTGCCAATGAGCCACCTGACATTGCTGCCAATTACCGTCCACCGGCGATAACTAATTTCAACCATTGCTTTTTTTATTAAAAAAGACCTTCAACTATTCCAACTTAATCGGCCGGCTGATCATCATCGTCAGTCGTCAGTATTCACTTTTGGCATCAACATTCACTTTTGGCCACTACTTTCCTAGGCGAGCGACTATTTTTCACATTTTTCACATTTAACAACCACCTTCGATTATTATCGCTAATTATTAACAACGATCTCCTTCAACCACTCGTGCAATTTATTTTTAAATTAAAATTTTTAAAATACTTATATCATACGAGTGTTTTATTAATGGGCATGACTTCTGTCTAGTCCTTAATCGGACTGGACCGTACTGTTGAGTCCGTGAGAGTCCATCACGGATACTGTTTTGATAATTTGAACCGTTTAATGTGTAGAACTCGTCGAGTACTATATGCTTGTAAAAAATCACATTAATCGGATATCGATAGATATGTGATCAAATCAGTTTTATATAAAAAAATAGACAGTGAATAAATTAACGGTTGACAAAAATCTATTTTGATCACATAGCTATCGATATCCGATCAACGTAATTTTTTACAGGCATATAGTACTCGATGATTTCTACACATTGAACGGTTCAGATTATCAAAAAAGGACCCGTGATGAGTCTTCACAGACCCAACAACACAGTTTAGTCCGATTAAGGACTGGACAGAAGCCATCCCCTTTATTAATTTATGTGAGGATCTAATTGATGACTCTTTATATGACTACAACGGTAGGTTTTTTTGACTTTTGACTCCCAACGCACACTAAATAATCAATGAGTAAATGTGTCATAATTTTAAGTTAATGCAATATCTTTGTACAATTTTACTATTGAATTGGATCACTCTTTGTAAATGTCTTCTATCTTCACCACTTAAATTTCTGCACCAAACTTGGACATATAGCGCATCCTTTGTTTACAAAAATTGGAGGAGCCTATTGCTTATTGGAGTAGCTGTGTGACAATGTTTTGATCCTACATTTGTATAAGTTTTACATGGGACTCGGGTAAATAAATAGTAAATTTTTTTAAAAAAAAGTTGACCAAAAAAAAATTGTCAACATATTAGTGGTGTTTGGGAAGGAAAGTTGAGGCTAAATTAGCTACATGCACGCAAAAGAGGCTTATTTAGCCACATGACAACAAAAATGCTTGAACGGGTTGAAGAGGAACCCTTCTTGGGGTAAATTTACCAAAATACCCTGAAATATCCCTCTGATTCATTTCGCCAAACGCCTCACCACACACACAACCTTCCTAGGGCACAGAAGAAGCGAAGGAGGCGATTAATGGCAACTAGTGGCGACGACATCTGAGGCAGCTTCGCAGAGGCGATTGGCACCGGAGTACGCATCTGCGGCGGCGAAGATGACTCGCGAACAGGTCGGCAAATCGGATGGTTGGGGCGTACGTTGGCGGCGGCGAACAAGAACGAACCCTCTCAAACACCACCGATCTTCAGGTAACTCTTTCAAACCCTTCTGATTTCGTTTCCCTTTTTGCATGTGTGTGGCCTCTGCTTCCGATCTGCTTAGGGTTCATGTGTGGAATCCCTTTCTCTATATACAACGTTATGATTTTTTCCAAATTTGGAAGGAAGTGTGGACTCTCTTTTTTTAAGTTGACACATTTTGGGTTCATTACAAATTGGGTTCATTACCGACCTGTTGAAGTTCATCGTCGTGCTTGGGTTCACACATTTTGGGCAGAGATATATATATATACATACATCTGTTCTTATATATAAATCTGTAAATCTGTGAATAATGAGGGCCGGAGTATGTAAAGCTCTGTTGAGATCCGTAAAACACTTTGTTCTTGTTTTGATTTTTTTTCTTATAATTATCATTAAAAATGAAAAATTTCAGATCACAAGTTCGAATTGATGTATACAAATGCTGAATGAAATCTAATTTATCAAATTGATGTATACATTGTTCCATTGCTAGTCTCTAGCCATTTTTGAAATAAATTCTGAATGAAATTTGTGAATGCACTTATGTTATTGTGAATGCATATCTGATTCTGGTAAAGTTCTATTGAGATCCGTAAAACACTCTGTTCTTCTTTTGATTTTTTTCTTATAATTATCATTAAAAATGAAAAATTTCAGATCACAAGTTCGAATTAATGTATACAAATGCTGAATGAAATCTGATTTATCAAATTGATGTATACATTGTTCCACTGCTAGTCTCTAGCCATTTATGAAATAAATTCTGAATGAAATCTGTGAATGCATATCTGATTCTGTTAAATACCTATTGATTTGTCATGAAATCTGAGTCTGTGAATGAATAAGGAAAACTGAAATAGGTTCTATGATTTTTTACTCAATGAGGGAAAAAATGTCCAATTTTTGTTATATTTATTAACCCATATGCACTTGCACAGATTCCTTTTGTAACTATTAATTTTATTATTATTATTATCCTAGTTATTATTATTATTATTATTTTCAGTTGTTTTTTGAAATTTGAGAATACTTTATTTATATCAATAATTTTAAAGATTAAAGTGTGTATCCACATGACACAAATTAGACATACTTTTTTGAAAAAAAAAATACAGCATTAATTTATATATACTTAGAGTAGATCAACTGAAAAAGAGTTATATTCAACTGGTAACCCATTCAGCTTTCAATGAAGACAGATATGAACGAAGAAAGCAGAGGGTTTTATTCAGATTTATGAATAATCAAGTTAACAGTGTTTGAAGAAGTGAAGTTGAATAAGGACAACCCAAAAATGTGACCGTATAAGAATCAAGACTGCCTCTGAGGACTGTTTTTTGGAAGAGAAATGTAGACATTCTCTTCAGCATTGACAAATCAATAGGTATTTCGCAGATAATAAATCAATAGGTATGTCACAGGTGGAGACATCGTCTCCAGCATTGACTCAAAAATCACAAAATTTATTCAGATCATGTGTTTTCCTTATTAATTGACAGACCATTTCATGAGAAATCAATAGGTAATTCACAGATCATAAATGAAGTTTATCATGACAGTGATAAGTAATCAAATTACCAATGTTTACTAAAATGAATTTTGTATGCTAGTCTCTAGCCATTTTTGAAATAAATTCTGAATGAAATTTGTGAATGCACTTATGTTATTGTGAATGCATATCTGATTCTGGTAAAGTTCTGTTGAGATCCGTAAAACACTCTGTTCTTCTTTTGATTTTTTTCTTATAATTATCATTAAAAATGAAAAATTTCAGATCACAAGTTCGAATTGATGTATACAAATGCTGAATGAAATTTGATTTATCAAATTGATGTATACATTGTTCCACTGCTAGTCTCTAGCCATTTTTGAAATAAATTCTAAATGAAATCTATGAATGCATATCTGATTCTGTTAAATACCTATTGATTTGTCATGAAATCTGAGTCTGTGAATGAATAAGGAAAACTGAAATGGGTTCTACGATTTTTTACTCAATGAGGGAAAAAATGTCCAATTTTTGTTATATTTTTTGTTATACTCAATGCTCAGGCCTGAATTTTTGTTATTTTTTGTTATACTCAATACTCAATACTTAATGCTGAAGAGGATGTCCAATTTTTTGTTATTTTTATACTCAAATGCTGAAGAGGATGTCAATGCTGATTCTATT